CAGATCCTGAGAGGACTGCTCAGATCCTGAGAGAACTGCTCAGATCCTGAGAGGACTGCTCAGATCCTGAGAAAACTGCTCGGATCCTGAGATCTGCTCCTCACTGTCCTAGAACCACAAGTGTAAAACCTGCCAGCCATGTACAGAGTGTCATTTGTAGATATTTAAGCTGTCCAAAATAGGTGGGAAATAGCCTGACTTTCCAGATGGGGGAGCAGATCACTCAGCACTTGGCTTCATCACTGCTGGGCAAGTGGAACTCCCATGTTTCCTCTGACTTTATGCAATCCATGTGTTTTTGGTTTTATTTTTTTTGCGGACACAGGGGGATAAGATTGGGCATTTTGTTGCCACTGGCACCATGGAAAAGCTGAACTCCCTTGCAATATTTTCCAGGGGCTGCTTTCCCTGTGCACATCTTGCTTCGTGCCCTGTGCTTAACCATGTGCAGACTGTGCTCAGGCTCTGTGCCAAGCCCGTGTCACTGCTCCACGCTCAGGTTGATGAGGATAACTGCCCTGTAATTTCCCCTTCCTTGGAATCTCTTTCCTTCCTAGTGCTGAGTGATAATGGCATGGGCTGTATTGTGGGGAGGCAGGGGAAGTTCATCTTCATTAAGTGCTGCTTCAGTATTTCTTTCTCTTCGACTCAAATTTTCCACCAAATTGCCCGTTTCTGCAGGAAGCTTGACTTCCACTCCCTGACCTGCTTTGGATGTTCCCACCTTCTGCAACTAAGTAGGTGCCTTTAGCTTGTTCTGTTATTATGATAAAATATGGCTTTATGCAGAGGGAGCTGATAAAGTCCATTAATGAATCAGATTTTAGGGAGTTTCGTACTTATTTTCCAGACAACTTGTTCCTCAGCCTGCTTTTTCCATTCCCTGGCAGCTCAGACTCTGCTCAGTGCAGATACTTGCACTTCCCAGCTCTCTGAGGTGGCCAGAGGCATTTTCCCTCGAGTGCCAGTTGGTGTAGCTGTGCATTTGCAGATGTACAAGTTCTGAGGGATCCTGATTAATTATGCAAAGTTTACTTCTAGAGTAGAGTTGGTACATGTGAATTCTTTTGTGTTTGTTAAATGACTGAAAAATGATTAAACTTTGCCTTTGGAAGGGAGGTTACTTGGCTGTATCTATTTTTCCTGCCCTGCTGGGCTGACAGGCAGGAGGAGGAGCAGCACTGGAGGTTTGTAGGAGGGTGTCCCTGGGCTGTGGTGGTTGCTGTGCCCTCTGGAAGGGTTGGTGGGTGACACCAACCTCACTTTGCTCCACATCTTTCCACTCTGAGCATCCTCTGTAGTCAGCAGGGATTGCCCAGGTGGGATCCCCCCAGCCTGCCTGGCACAGCAGGTCCTGGAAAAGCCTTTTTCCCACAAGGATAAAGCCAGCCTGGCTTGGATGGAGGTGGCTGCTTTGCAGATCAATTGAATCCCATCCTTGGATTTCACTGCCATGTGTCCAAGGTTTAATTGGAGTCTCATGTCTTTCTTGACTGAAGTTTTCAGGATATCCCTGTCCTGCACTTTTTGTGGCTCTGCTTAAATCCTATGGGCCTTTGCAAACCTCCTGAGTGTGGTATTTTGCACTGATGAGCAAAGTAGAGGCAGGGTACCAGGAGACATTGTTTTTTTCCAGCCTCAGGAGTCTGCTAGCAGTGGGGATTAGCAAAAGAATTTTCCCATCATTAGCTCCAAATTTGGCCCCAGAAAACTTTCTGTAATCCTTTCATCTGTTCCATAAAAAAAAAAAAAGAAAGAAAATAGTGTAAATGGCCTCTGGCCCTGTTGATGAGGCAATCTAATCTAGTGCAATAATTGTGGAAGAATGCTTTCAGAAATTGTGAATGCTGTTTGTTTTACCCTTATAGAGATGTTGTTTTCTCATTGTGACATGCTTGCATGAGAATGTAGTACTCTGGGATGGATGGTAAATATGGGAGCTTGCAAAATTTGTCGTGTTTGGTATTTTTACCCTGTCACTGTCCTTTTGCTTCCAGGTCCTTTAAAGTTTGTATTGGAGCAGAAATAAGTTCATAAATAGATAAGCTGCAAAACCAGACACTGTTTATGTCCTTTCAATGGTTAAGAGAATGCTGTGCACAGTCAGGATGTTCTCAATCAAAACAGATCATTTTAAGTAAATGATCTCTCATAATAATCCTTTAATTATATGGTTATGTAACATTTTTAATTTCTTGTCAAAGTCAAATTTCCAAAACCAACCAAAAATTGTAGCATTATGTCTTTGTTTATAATAGCTTTGCAAATCAAGGTTGCTGTGTCACCTCTGGTCACAGTGGGTGGCACAAAAGCCTCCACGGAGGACTCAGCTCAGCCTGGTGTGTGATTTCTGTTACCCTCACATGACATCAAAATACTTGAGACTGGAGCCCTGGTCTGGCTGTTGCTCTACACACACATGGAGAAATATTCTTGTATCATCAATAAAGTGAGTGGAAGTATTTGTGGTGATGCAGAGACTTATGGAAAACAGCATCAGGAATGTGATTCCCCTCTCCCAGGTCGGGGCTCAGCCACGAGCCCATCACTCCTGGTGCAAACAGCCCAGTCAGAACATGGACAGTAAAGGCCTTCTCGTAAAGATTATTTACATATCTCTTGCATAATCAAAAAGGAACCCTGCAGTTGTTTCACATTTCTGTTTGTTAATATAATACAAACTAATTACCATTGTGTATGGGAGATGTTTGAGTTATGAGACTCAGACCAGTGGGGCTGTGCATACATTGCATCATTGTTAGGACTCGTTTGTAAATAAGAAATGATTGAAGATAAGATTTTTAGAAATGTTCATCATCTTGTCTAAACAGGATCTGGTCTCATCCTACGGAGTTACAGCCCTGCATGCTGGGACCCCCTTGGGAGGTGGCTCCAGTCCTGGTCGGTGGGCTCTGGAGGTGTTCAGCATTCCTTGGGAAAGGCTGAGCACCAGCAGGTTCAGCTTTTCTAAAAACCTCCGTAGAGAGGCATATGTTTTTGATATTCAGATGTAAAATAACCATCCATGGCCTGACTGACCTCATACTATGCAGATCGATTTTAATTTTGCTTCCCGAGGTTATTGTGTGGAAATAGAAACAACTTCAGTGTTACTGGGGCACTGCTCTGTCTTTATTGCATTTTGTTTAGGTGGATTTAACCCTTCTTAGGGGGAAAAATTAACCCTCCTGTTAAAACATTGCTTTTTGTCATGAGTGATCTAAATAGTGCAATATTTAGGCTCCCTGCTCAGAAATCTGGGAATGCCAAAATTGAGGTTACTGGCACTTCTTGCATGTATTTCTAGTCTTAAAACATTTGCATGGTGTTTTTGCAGGTCCTGCCTCATTTTTTGCATAGGAC